AAGTCAAGTGAATGTTTTTGATTTTCAGCCTACTGATAGAATGGTGCGCATCGGGGAGTTTTCTCCTTCAAACCCAGACTTGCAGGCACCAGGTAAAGCCTTACTAGGTTTGGGTGAATATGAAGATAGACGACGTCAACTCCTGGAGAAGAAAAAGCAGGAATACAAGGAATATCTCTCTCAAAATCGTAACACATTGCAAAAGACTGATCATCTTCAGCACCCATCAACCAAGAGGTAATGCAGGATGTCCAAGTCACATTGTTTTTCCTTTACTAAATTTTGACACTTTTAATCTAATATAATGTTTTTAATGTGATAAAATAATCTCATTTTGTTTAGCAGCTTTGATCAGCCTACTCCTCAAATAATTCTGACAACTGATAATCTAAATGGATCTGTAAATTCTGTTGATGCTGCAACCCAAACTGAAAGTTGGCTCGTAAGCATTAGTATGCACTTATTTTATTTTATCATATTCCTGTTCTTGGTTTATTTTAAATGGGATAATTTTTTGGCAGGCTGAACAATTCCACAAGGAAAGTTCTTCATCTCATGCAGAACATAATCATGTAGCTCAATCAGCAGACACTTTGATGCAGCCATTAAGTCCCAGAGGTGAGGAAAGCTTAACAAAGCTTAACTTGAAATGCACTTGCAAAGTATGACCATAATTATTATAACGCTCCTGTCCTCTTTTGCTCTTGTTTTTATCGATTATGTATTATTTGAAAGTAGCCTAGCACTAGTGTTCCCTGTATGCCATGAAATAATTTTAGAATCATATTTTATAATTTTAAATCTATTGCTGATATGTAATTGTGAGTGTCAAGGAATGCTATGTTGAGTTGTGAGTAGTCAGTTACTTTCATGTGTGTGTTGCATAGAGCTAATGTGTCCTTTATTCTTCTTCTGCTCATGCTGCTTGCTCTCTCCTTCCTCTCTACGCATTGAATGGGGTAGAAAAACATAATATGGAACTCCGACATCATTGTGCACCCTGCTTTGGTTTGTTGGCATATTGTGTTGTAGACTTACATCGCCTTACCTGGTAGCTTGGCTTGCATGACAAGCCAACCATATGTGCATTCTGAAGATGAATGTGGTTCCCTTTCCTTTTTCAGTGTCTCTTGCCCATGCATCACAAACAACAGAGCAACTGCCTGATGCTCGAATGAGACAACTTCAATTGCAAGAAGAATTGCGCTTACAAATAGAAGAAAAACGTAAACTAGAAGCTGAACGCCGTGCACAGGAGAGAAAAGAAGAGGAGGCTCTTCAGAAAAGAGTTGCTGAACAGCAGGCCCGACTCCAAGCTGAGTTTGAAAGAGATGAAAAACTGAGGCGTGATCGAGAGATCCAGGTGCTGTCCTTAAAGTGATAATTATTTTACCATTGTTCAACATTTCTTTCTTCTTTTCTAACCACTTTTGTGAAAATGCTTTTGTTCCTTTCCAGAAACAGCAACAGATAGAAGAATTTCAAAGGCGTCAAGAAGAATTGAAGGCAGAATCTGAAGCCTTGAAGCAAGAAGGTCGAAGGCAAAAATTACATGCTTCTGAAATAAACAGTCAAGCGCCCTTTTCAGTTGAAATTCCAGTTGGAGCTAAAAATGCTCATCTGGTTCCTCCAGCTGAGCCAGCCCCTGTGTCTATTCTCAAGAGCACTTCTCCTCCCTTACGCAGCCCCAGAAGGGCGGCACATGGCTCTCAGTATCCAGATGAAGGACCACCATCTCCTAGAGCATTGATAAAGGTATCAAAACCTGTACCTGTGTTATGCCTCGAATTTATTGAAATTTGATTTACTTTTAATTTACTTCACTCCCCATAATTTTAACAGGTTTTGGAAGGACCCACGTTACCTCTTCACCTGGAAGATTCTCTGCCCATACCACTGATGCCTGTTGTTCATTCCAACTCCCAGTCACTTTCATCTCAAAGATCTCCCCACCGATCTCGTCATGTTTCGCCCAGCCGCTCACCTCGTCATTCACCCCACCACTCACCTCATCGTTCACCGCACCGTGCACCACGCAGGTCTCCCTCTCGATTCATTCCAGAGCAGAACTGGAATGTACCTGTAGCACCACACCACCACCCTTCAACTAGAGGGCCTAGTGACGCTATGCGCAATTTAGAGGAACGTTGGAAGGTACGCCCTCTTGTCCTTTATTTAGTTAAACCTGTTAACTGTAGGCAATTGTGGATGACAACATTATATTTTTGTTCTTTATTAGGTCCCTGCTGTCCAGAAAAATGTGTGTGTACGTGGGAAGACAAACGTTCAGAACGGTGGTGGAAGTAATGTACTCACACAACTTGGAGCTTTCAGACGACAGCTGCAAATTGAACACATGCGAATGGAGGAAAAAGTTAAGGAAAAACATCACCCTCAGCATTACAATCAACAATATTACCAGCAACATATAGCCAAGCGAAACCGACAGGAATACTAATTTTAGTTTATAATGGTGCCTTAATTAAGCTTTACTTCTGTGATATTGAAGATATCTATTTTAATGTTAACTAAACCAAGCTCTCTACAAGCTCTGCTCTGTTTAACAGAGATGAACGCACAAGGTGCTCAGAATATTTTAGTCTTCTTTTCTATATATGCTTAAAAGCCTGATTTTTTTAGATAACACTAGTCATACCATATTTTTGATTTTTATCAAACTATTGCACATGGCAGTTAGTTATACTATATATGTTACCTGTGACATGATATTGTTTAAAAATTTATGAGCTTCCAAGTTGCTGCACTGTGCAGTGCAGCGTAGGCTAGCATTTATGATATTTTATAGTGTATCCTATGAGGGAATGTTTATAATTTGTTACAGGGCCACGACACAACAGTATGTGGGTTTGCCTACTCGCTCCGCCCGTGAGGCGCCCTATGGCCCCCTTAGATTTTGCAAACCCACAACACTGTTGTGTCGTGTAGCCCTGACACACGGCATGTTCAAGACCTTTAGTACTTGATGTCTTTGTGGAAAATATAATTTAACTGAATCTCTGAAGCGAACTCGTTACATTATTTTCCCATTATCCGATTCGAAACAGTCTGTCGCCAGGCGAGTGGCGCAAGTGGAGGCAAGCCTTCCCCCGGCCTAGCGCCTGGCGGGTAGGCAGCCCATCCTACGCCCGGGGGGGGGGGGTCCTCGCCAGCTCAGCGGCGGCCGATGCACGGGCGGCGCTGGAAAGAAGGCTGGGCTAAATCGCACGGACATCTCGGGGTGGAAGAGTGAGTGTTGTCCCAAAACTGGAGATACATATCGTCCCCGTATTTCTTGCGCTGTTCTATAGAAGCCAAAGGCTGGTGTGTATCTGCTAAGGCGACGGCGGCGGTGCTTTCGGGCGTTGTGGGTTGTGCAAAAAATTGTAGAAAAGGATGACATGGCGTTTTTGTTGAGAATTGGCAGCACAAAGCCCTGTGGCTCCAGCTGCCTGGTCCAGGCTCGTCTACCACCCTGTACACGGTGGTACACACGCCCGCGACCCCCACCAGGCCGCCGCCGGGGCAGTGCTGCCAACGGCCGCTCGTTGAACGCCACGAAGACGCGGTGGTCGTCGGCGCGACGGCTCGGTGCCCCGGAATGGAAGGGGTGGGCGGCGTCATCGGCGTCCTCCCTCAACCCCCGCTGCGCGCGTCCAGGTCCGCGGCGAGGAGCACGGCGAGGCCGCGGCCGCCGTGCTCGCCGAGGTCCCCGGTTGGCACTCCTGGCTCCCGGGGACTTGTTACATCGGCGCTATCGAGCCGAGAGGGGGGAATCACCGGAAGGAGAGAGGCGGGCCCGCGGTCACAAGGGCAGCTAGAAGCACTTCATAGCTGTACTTCTCGGCTTCATTTCGTGTCCAGCATCGAGACCAGCGACATGTGGCGGAGGAGCGACTGGCCCGACTGGCGCTGCGGAGACCAGGAGGATCACGACATGTTCAGCGTGAGTACCAAGTACCGATAAATGCGTTGTGCGCAGAAGCTCATGACTAGACATTTTAGGTTGGTTTGGTGTCGGACCGAGAAAATGACGTATAATGTAAACTTATTCACGCGATGTATCCTAATTCAAGTTCAGTTATATTTACTCGCAAAAATGTGCAAAACATAATGCGTCGCCATTGACTGAGGGGAATCAATATACGTCTCTTGCAAACAAGTAGTTGGTTAAAGCTACCTCGAAAACTGTATTATTTTTTGGCAATATTTTTGGACCACGCAACTGAAAACTCTAAACCAACGTCTTAAACTGGTCCTATATACAGGGTGTCCCATAGACCCCGTACTCCTCTTTGCTGTATACCGCGTTCGCACGTGTGAACGGGTTGCCTACTCGCTGAGCACCATAAGGCGCCACGGTGAGCGAAGGTAGGCAAGCCCGCCTGCACGCCTGTATGCGGTAACAGTGTAAGCAAATCAAAGTACGCGGTCTATGGGACAACCTGTATAGTTTTCCTTAACACGTCGTTCTAGTTTTACCTCAATTTGTTCTGGTTTTTCAAAAAAAATTATAGACAGTTTGTTTTGTAATGATGGTAGTTTGCATTTGTCGAGCACTGCTTGATGTCGCTGTTTTTACGCGGTTTTTGATGACAGTAGTGTGCGATGTAAATACGGTAAAGCCCCGAGGGGAATACTTCTGCAGGGGCTCGAGTCATGACGAGATTAGGGGAGGCAAGGGGTGGGGGGTCCGAAACAGGAAAATGTCGCCGCTCGCCCCGCGCGCCTCGCTCCAGACCCTCCTTTGCCCCACTCCGCCCCGCTGCAAGCGCTGCCTAAATACTTTTCGGCCATCTTCCACCTTTATGCCACGACGCACGAGAGGACATGCGCCGGTCGTGACGTCACCGAGTGATGCCCATGCTGCGAATAGCTCGCCCCCACTCGCTGCTGGCCGCTGCTGGCGCGGCCGCGGCTCTGGCCCGGCCCCAGCCTCCTCTGCTCGCGGGAGCCGGCCTCAGTTTGCCGACGACGACCTCCTGCCGCTGAACACACGGCAGGCTACCGACCTACCGACCCGAGCCGAACGACGCCGCCATGGAGTACCCGCCGCGCCTGGACGCCGGCTCGCCGCTGCTGCGCCCCCGGCTCGCCTTGCTGGCCGCGCTCCTCGACGACTGGGCGCTCCCCTTCGACGAGCGCCGCGGCCGCCGGGGCAGCGGCCTCACCTTCCCGAAGTGGATGATCACGGACGACTTCGACGACGACCGGCCGGTGCTGCGGCGCAGCCGGTCGACCTGGGCCACCTGGCCGTCGAGCAGCGTGGAGGACGACGAGGACGTGCAGGAGGACAGCGGCGAGGGCTCGCTCGTGCCCTGGTGGAGCAGGCGGGCGGTGCGGAGCAGGCCGCGCAGCTGGGCTCCCGGCCGGCCGCGCACCCAGGACGAGCTCCGCGAGGCGCGCCGCCGGTACTTCGAACCCCAACACCGCCGCGAGAGCGAGGACGAGCCCGCGACGCACCGCAGCCCGCAAAGGGTGGCCTTTGAGGAGTTCCGCGACGTCCCGATCCGCAGCGGAGCGGCACGGAGGAGCAGCCCGCCGGCGAGGACGTCGTTCCTCCGGGAGGTCCCCGTGACCAGGGAGAGAACCGGGAGGGAGGTCCCCGATCTTAAGGACGACCGAGTCAGCACCGACTTCCCTGCGACCAGAGACGTCCCCGTCAGCAGAGACTGCACCGCCTCCAGGGATGCGCCCGTCAGCAGAAACATCCCCATCAGCCGAGAGGCGCCCGCCAACAAAGAGGCTCACGCCAGAAAAGACATCCCCGTCACGCGGGAACTACCCGTCAGCAGGGACATCCCCGTCACCCGGGACTTCACCGCCGTCGGGACAGGTCCCGTCAGCAGGGACATCCCCGTCACCCGGGATTTCACAGCCGTCGGGACAGCTCCCGTCAGCAGAGATGTCCCCGTCACCCGGGACTTCACCGCCGTCGGGACAGCTCCCGTCAGCAGGGACATCCCCGTCACCCGGGACTTCACCGCCGTGGGGACCGCTCCCGTCAGCAGGGACGTCCCTACGGCCGACGTCCCCGCACGCGTCAGGAACATCCCCGTGGAGCGCGAGGTGTCCGACCCCAGTCGAGCACGCACCGAGACCACCCCGTCGGAGCCCGGCCCGCGGCCCGGCCAGGGTGGTGCGGGGCGCGACGGGGAGGGCGGCGACTGGAGCGCCGGCTCCGTGAAGAGTGTGAGTAGCTCACTTCACGTGGCGATCACGACCAGAGTTCAGGGGAAACAGTATTTTAGATCCGAAAGTGAATACCTTCTTGTAGAAAACCCAGGAAACCCCAGTATGAAAACAATGATTACTTTTGAGGGTAGTTTTCTGCAGTGAACATGTAAAGTCTGAGAGTACAGCTCTCCTTGTCGCTGTCCCTTGTTTTCGCCCGTTTTCTCCCGCCGTGCACTCTGCGGCTCCACCGACGCCATGTTCGCCTCCGTCGAGTAACGCGAGTGGCGTGCGCGATTAGCCATGGGTCGCGCGGTGGGCGGGGCCTGCCTCGGTGCCTGCGGCGGCGGCCTCGGCCCGTCCCGCCCGCGGAAAGGACTTCGAGAGAAATTCAAACGTACACCGATTTTTACCGTTTTTCCATGATTTTCCATGAATGATTTCATTTCACTCGATGCTGTTCTATTTTTTGTAAGTTGATCTTTGCTTGAATTTAGTACTAACCAGATAGTAATTCCGGGTATATGCCGTGTGTGGGTTGCAGTTATAACTAACTAACAGTGTGGATTCAAACAGGCACAGCTGGTATAATACGAGCTTGGAAAGGCGTCGACCGGCAGAAGCTGACGGCCTGGGGATCAACACCCGGTTTGCGCAAATATTTTTTTTTTGTCGCTTCTTGTCCCCAGTAGGTCGGGACCGAATTTCGAACGACCCGTCGGAGAGACCACCTGGCAGCCGAGCGTGCTGAGGCGTCGGCCGTCTTCAGTAG